CTACTACTACTACTACTACTACTACTACTACTACTACTACTGCTGCTGCTACTGCCCCTCAGTAGATATACTGATAAGCAATGCTGCATGGCATGCACACGACCCGCTGCTGTAAGAAACGCACTGTCCAGCTTTCCGCTTGAAAACCTCCCACCGCCTCCCCCTGCCCCTCCCCCTGCACCTCCACGCGCGCGCTTTCTCTATCAATGGACGCGTGAGTGACCTATACCTATTCATGACTACCATTCACGGACGCTGCAGGCGACAACAGTGCCACCATCGCTAGCTGTTGTCGAATTTACACGTATCTAGCCTATGCTGTAGTATAGCTGTATACAGCCTATGCTGTAGTATAGCTGTATCTGTCAGTATCTGTTGGGTCGCGTGTATCTGTGTACAGCCGTATGTCACGCGCGGGGTGTTACCAGCAGTGTACATGTAATGCATAACTCTCTACGTACATGCACTGGCATACTGTACGACTGTTACTGTTAGGTGTTAGTACTAGCAATATAGCTCCAACAGGATAATGTGGTAGAGTACATGCAACTACGGTCAACCATGGACACAAGACGCGCATCTCTCTACTTCCTTTGACCCACTTTCATTTCCCCGGTCTCTCCATTTCTCCCAGCCCCGATCTTTCTCTCCTAGTTTTCGGGCTAGATTATTATAATAATCATATATGGTATGTCGTAACAGTAAGTTGTAAAAAATAATCCAAATTCTCTTCGAATATAGATATTGAAGGTAAAGTGTCAACCGTCTAGCTGGCGTGAATAAATGTCAGTCTTAGCTCATCTGTATCGCAACAAGGGGGTCCTAAAATTGCTACTTAATTAGTGAAGAAGTATGAGCAGAAGTCGGTAATTTTGAAGTAACAACACACCTGTTGGGCTTTAGCGACCGACCTAGCGTCAATATGGCATGGTTAGCATAAAATATGGTTTAATATAGTATATAATATCAAGAGCCTATAAAGAAGGCTTCTTTATATGCTCTTGATAATATATATAATATACTATGTGTAATATGGTTAACATAGGTAATATGTTAATGGCCAGCATCAAAGGGTGGCATATGGTTACTGGAGCACGTATATCTACAAGTATAACATACGGGCTCTGTGGTGACCATAGATATACAAAAGCGTGTTTGTATATTATATCTATCGTGGTGACTTCGGCGGGTAGCCTGGTTGTACACACAAGTGAACGTACTGGTACTAAGTCTGTCGTACTATATGTCTTACACTGACATCCGGCCACTGAACGGACCGACATACAGATAACTGACAGATAACCGACGCAGATAAGGTCTACGTCTCCTTGGGTACTGCCGGAACGTACCCTAGCTGGGTACGGTCCGGTATACCGGAACGTACCCTGG